TCTCTCTCTCTCTGTCTCTCTCTCTCTATCTCTTTCTCTCTCTCTGTCTCTCTCTCTCTCTCTCTATCTCTCTCCCCGCCTTTCTCTAGATAACTTTGAAATAATACAGTGGACAAAGGGGTTGGGGATTGGGGTTGTGGATATTATATTGGTATGTATTCGTATACTATCAAAACAAAACAATATCGTGTGAATTGGCTGCATTTTTAAAAATTGTAAACACAATGGCAATAGCAATTTTCCTGTTTGTATTTTGTTAATAAACGCATATTCAAATGAGTTAGTAGGTGATATTGCACATCATTCCCGGGGCAGTGCCACTGACTGTAGGGGGGACATTTCTCGTTCAAGCACAGTAGAATTGCAACTGGGCTGATTCATGTCACGCTCATAACTGTGCCTGATCTACAACAGGGAACTGCTGCTTTTTCTTTCCTAATCCTTACTATTGTCATTTTCCTCTACTTCTTTTGTATGTTTGTCACACTCTTGTGACCTGCTATTTCCGGGGTGCCTTGTTAGTCGAAGCAGACCTTGTGCTGTGGAAGCTAGAGAGGTGAGCAGAGTAAGTCTGATTCCCTGTAAAGACTTCTCTGTTGACACCCACCCCTTGGCGGTCATGTGACCTTTATGCAGTTTCGAGCGCCGTAAGACCCTCTACTATAAATAAACTACACATCATTCTCCATGTACCCAACGATACCTCATCTACGTGGTCGTGTGACTGTTAAAGGGTTTTGCGAATTGAGTTCTGTAAAAATGTATTCAATTGTATGAAGTGTGTTTAGATCAAAACTCTAGCAATTTTAGAATTGAAAAAGCAATGTTACATAAACAATCCAGCTGGGTTTTTGTTGTTATTTTAAATTGCTGCACAAGGTACTAAGATTTAGCCGCGAGAAGCGCGAAAGAAAAATTATTGGAATGGTCCAAGATAGAATGTTGACGGGAAGTGTGGTGTGGATACTTCCATGCTCCCATTCTACGACAAATAACTCGAGATACATGTTCCAAGTGACTAACATTACACCTTACAGACAGAAAACAGACAGACAATGGTCACTGCTGGCCAAGAAGGCAGACAGATACTGCTCTGGCATCTAATAGATTGCTATCTCTGCTCGTTGATTTCAGACAGACACTGGAAGGGTTATCAGCGACAGATGCGGCAATGTTTAAACACGCCTAGACTTCGATCAGGGCAGCTCTATAATTGTCAATATTTGGCGTTTGAACTGGGCAAACAATCACAAAGAGCATAGTATAAAACAGCCTTATAAGCTGTTCATAATCAAAAGCTCCGTATCCGGACTCTAGTGTGGAGATCATCAGGAGAGAATGCGTCGCTGTTTCGTGCTCTTCCTCTCTACAGCTTTTCTGACGCAGCGAGCCCCCTCACCGATGTGAGGTCTCCTTGCCAGTCCGACTTTTCTTCAGCTGTCAGTTCTCAGGATTCATTCCCACCTGCTCCCTCTCTCTTTAACCGGAAACTCTGAGATGAAGTTCTTTTCTCCGACGAGGCACAGTTTTGCTGAACTCAGACTGGTGGTTGCTCGAGAGTTTGGAGACGTCAATGAGAGAGACTAGCAGACTACTGTATACATCAAATAGGCAGATAGGGCGGTGGCAGTATGATGGTGTGGGGTAGAATGTTATCTTCTAACCACAAGTAGAATGTTATACTGTATCAATTTGTAAATCCAGGTGTGTTATCAGTTACAAACTGCGATCTGAGATTTGACAAATAGCTACCTTAGAATTACAAAGTTCTGTGTGACATGTTGGCAGTTTTGAGTTATTAAGTCCATGCAGTCAGAAACCAAAAGCTCTATCTGCTCGTTCAAAATCGTCAGATTTTTCGGAGTTGTTCTCAATACGTTCAAAGAAATGCATTCGAAAAAACCTGACATGTTAGAAAACTGAATTTTTTTAAACGTCAGATATCTCAGGATTTGGTACTGAGCAGATAGAACGTTGTAATTCTGAGATAGCGAAATGACCGTCTTTTCAGACTGCCCAAATATCTGTTCATGGAGCGTCCGGACCACGACACGAGATGGCAACAGAAGAGCTGCACACCCCCGCCCTCCTACCCAAGCACTCCGCAGGTATATGTTATTATACTAATATGCTGTAGTGTATGGTTGTTAGCACTCTAAATACTATTATCATTATTACTATAATATAAATCTTTATTACTATAATTTTTAGCAGTGTACTTGTCTTTTTCTTCTCTTTGTTTTCCCCCATTGTGTGAAAGGCCAAAGTCTAACGAAATGAGGGTTCCTTTCTAATTTTTTTTATTCACTTTCAATTTAAGGGTACATTTTTTATGTAGCATCAGTTGTTGTTGTTATCGATCCAGTTGTAGCGTCAGTAAAACTGCAAAGGTGGGAAACATAACTATTGGATCATATAACTAGTTTGGTTTTTTTAAATTTAAATTTATTTCTCAAATCGATAGAACATGATTCAAATCTCTTGGAACAAACGTTTCCTAAACAGGAAAAACATTCAGCTGTCGATTTCTCTCTATTATAATTTACTGGTAAGTGTTTCACGGCGCTCGCAACTGCAGGTCATATGAGCGCACGGGAAGCATTAAGCATTGTCAGTTTGGTAGAAATTAATGTTTAATTTTGCCGGGGTGGCGGCCGGAGCCTACTCAACGATTTTAAGACCTCCAAGGGACCTGTAATTGCGTAACTCGCACATGGGACGTGAAAGAGTGTTACTCTCTTATCCAAGAGGACTAGGTGTTAGATGTTACCTTCCTAAGATCAGGGTTTTGGCTGAAAGACGGCAATAAGAAGGAGCCAAGGAGTAGCTGTAGAAAAGTAGGAGAAAGAGTCAGGAGCACAGATGAGGGAGCAAAAACCGATGCTCTCTGAAAGCAATATTTTCTCCTCACTTATTCACTACGTCTCTCTCTCTCTGTTTCTCTCTCTCTCTCTCTCTCTCTCTCTCTCTCTCTCTCTCTCTCTCTCTCTCTCTCTCTCTCCCTCTCTCTCTTTCTCTCTCTCTTTCTCTCTCTCTCTTTCTTTCTCTCTCTTTCTCTCTCCCTCTCTCCCTCTCTCTTTCCTCCCTTCTATCTCTCCCCTTCTCTCTTTCCCCCTCTCTCCCCTCACCCCCTCTCTCTCTCTCACTCTTTTTTTCTGTGGATCCTGTCTTTAGGTTCCACGAGCACACATTCTGCCACGTGAGGTGATGGACATGAGACTGAAAAAGCTCAAGAAATCCCAGCCATCAACTAGCAGGGACAGGTCAGGAACTAGGTAGGTGCATTTATAATTAAATGGATTACACAAAGAAAAGGTTTTAAGTCACGTTTTATATTTTGAAGAAAAAAACAACAACAGGTGTCAGGGGAGTTTACACAACACAGTATTTGGACGCTTTTAAGGATCAGTGGGCTAACCCAGATTTCGGGGTTTTCCAGAAATGTTGACCTACACCACTTGTATGTTTGTTTGGTTTAAGATAAAAAAAATATCTTTGTCTTTTGAAGAAACTGAAAAAAGGTCCAACAACTTTATCTTCGATTTTCTCAAAACAGCAATTTTCGGGAAAGTCCTTGTGTTTAAAAGCGACCATTTGAATGAAATGTGTTAAAAGTAAGCTACCTTCGTAAAGCTCACTCTAATTACCAGTCTTTCTTCTCCACGCCATCCTCCATCCCTTCCCACCTGCATCTAGACTATAGCTTATAACAAAAATGTTGCCGATGTTTGACGCAGGATATCTCCAAGACTATCCAACCGATCACCTTCATATTTTGAGAAGAGCTTAGTTTCCATCTCATCCACTGGGAAATGCAATCAATTTTCCGAAATTGTGGCTGATTAATTAATTACAATGTATCGTTACTAATTCAATACAAGTTTTACAGTAATCACGTGCTAAAAGTTGGACAAATTGCTAGTTTCTCGGATGTTCATAGGCGTCGCCAGTTCTGAACAAATTTCATAACCTTTAGCTGAAGCGACATTGATGGTTACACAGACAGACAGACAAATCTATAGAGAGATAGTGACAGATCTACGGGGCACTTTTAAACATATTTTAACATTCACCAATTATTCAGAATCAGATGTATCGTCAGTCAGGTTAATGACTACACTAGGCTGTTTAGGGAAATTTAATCCATCATGTATCCAGTATCTTTCCACTGTTGCTTTGACATTGCCCTCACACTTTTGCCAAAATTCTCTGGTTATACTAGATAAGGACTGCCTTGTGTATCGCTTAACGTCGTGGAGTCTAAATGTTATATTTGCCAAAGCAACCTTTTTCTCCATCTCAGTCAAAACATATTATGCTTTCCTCAAACGTTAATTTAAAATGTATTATATCAGGTGCGGGGCGAGGATTTTTAAAAAATGAGGGGTCCAAAGTTGGTTTAGCCATGGCCATGGCAATCAAAGTTGTATGATGAATAATGCATAATAATACATTTATGTATAATATTTGTATAAAGGTGCTCTGGTTGCATAGATACTATACACCATTACTAATTCAATACAAATTTTACAGTAATCATGTGCTGAAAGTTGGACAAATTGTAAACCTCCTCAAATTTTTTAGATGAACCAACACATTCGGCAACAATTTTGTTACAAGCTATAGACATCTTTTTTTCTCTCTCTCTCTCTCTCACTCTCTCTCTCTCTCTCTCTCTCTCTCTCTCTCTCTCTCTCTTTGTGTGTGTGTGCGTCTCTCTCTCTGTCTCTGTCTCCTCTCTCTCTCTCTCTCTCTCTCTCTCTCTCTCTCTCTCTCTCTCTCTCTCTCTCTCTCTTTCCCTCTGTGTGTGTGTGTGTGTGTGTGTATGTGTGTGTGTGTGTGTGTGCTTCTCTTTGTATCTCTGTGTGTGTGGATAAGTGTGTGTGTGTGTGTGTGTGTGTGTGTGTGTGTGTGTGTGTGTGTGTGTGTGTGTGTGTGTGTGACAGTGTCTCTTTCTCTCCATTTATCTCTGCCTCCCTACCAGTCTCTCTTTTCCTCTGTCTTTCTCTCCTTCTTTCTCTATCTTTCTAATTCTCTACATCTATCTCGTTATCCTCCCCTTTCTCTCTCTTTCTCTCTCTCTCTCTCTCTCTCTCTCTCTCTCTCTCTCTCTCTCTCTCTCTCTCCCTCTCTCTCTCCTTCTCCCCGTCCTTCTCTCCCCCCCTCCTTCTCTTTCTCCTTCTACCTTTCCTTCATTCCCTCTATTTTTCCACCTTTAATATTTCCCCACTCTCCTCATTTCCTGGTTTTATGTTTTCATCTCCACTCTCCTTCCTGTGCCTTTCTCCTCTCGAGTCTCCGTGGCAAAGCGCACTACCTTGTACATTACTTATTGAGACCTAATGGAGCATTAAACCTAAACGAAAAATAAAGTAAGCCAAATTTAAAGAAGCGTGGTGGAATCAGGCTCTCGTCAAAATAATCAAAGTGAACAAACTTGCATTTTTCCACAGGTTTGTTAATTTTTTTTCAATTTTTTCTTTTTTGGCTCGACACCTTTCATGCCCATTGAAGAACTCATTTCTGTGTGGATTTTTCTGAAAAACGTTGATTAAAGGCACAAAAAATGTAAATTTTCAGTTACCACGAACTCTTAAACTAAGGAAATAACTAATCTTTGGCGGCCATTTTCTCACTAATGTTACCTCTGAAAACAGGTGACCCCCCACCCCATTTATTCGCAAATATCTCGACTTGTATTCAATATAAAGTGATATTTTTCCCACACAAATAAAGACAAATGAACAAGCTTTAAGATGATACCAATAACTCAACATGTCCGAAAATTGACGAGAGCCTGATTCCACCACGCTGCCTCACAAATTTAAAGAAGCCAGCTACTTGGATGGCAGGTCAATCGATTTCATCAATCAGACTGGCTTTTGTCCGTCGGACGCTGCAGCCTAAATGCGACACACACAGAAAACTTTCTCTCCTTTTTTGTTTTTCTTTTCCTTTAGCTGTTTAAAAAAAAATATTTTTATTTTTTTATTTTATTTTATTTTTTTCAAACTTTAAGTTAAGTACACGACGCGCCAGTTCGACTGGTTAATGGCATCACTTAGTGTTTACTGTCGTAATAAAAATCAACTAAATCTCAACAAGTTCATCTCATCTATAATAAAAAAGAGTATGCGGTGTTTATTGATTTGATCATTTTACACCTTACACCACGTCGTCTTCTTCGACTTCCATTGCCACAGGTTATACACTGGGTGGTTGGTGGGTGCTCTGGTGTGGTTTGCTTCTTCTTTCCTATCAAACATCTATCGTCCTGATCTCTCCTCTTTTTTGTGCTTGTAACACCTGTAATCTTTGGCACTTATATGACATTATTGTGTTACAAATGCCTTAAAACTCTTACTAAAACTAAACCAAAACTCAGGTTATACACATTATACTTCCCTTAGACATTTTGTTGTGTTTCTTATGTTAAACATTTCTACCGCCTTGACGATAGATCAGTTTTTGAAAGGCGTTTCGGTTTCTATGTTATGATTATCTAATTAAGCACGGAGAATTTCTGACCGAAATGTACATTATTTTGCAGTATAATATCTGCTCTCTACCACCATCCTGTATTTGATTGCAGCGGCTGTAAATACACTCAATCTGTCTGTCTTCAAGCTTTTTGTGTTTTCAATTGTTTCTTCTGTATGGACTGATAACAATAATTAGTATTGGCAATCTTACTTTTAATCGAACTACAAAATAAGAGCAATAATGTGAATCACCATTTGACAATATCCACTAATTGTTAATGATTACTGTCTAACACGCAGGAAAGAATAGAATCCTCAGGGAAGCTGCATGAAAGTACAAGGATAAACCATTCTCTTAAATACACAAATATCTCTCTCTTTCTCTCTCTCTCTCTCTCTCTCTCTCTCTCTCTCTCTCTCTCCCTCTCTCTCTCTCTCTCTTCTCTATTTCTCTCTATTTCTCTTTATTTCTCGTCTCTTTCTCTTTCCTTTCTCTGTGCAGAGAGAGAGCGAGAAAGGGAAAGAGAATGAGACAGTGAGATAGAATGAAAGAGCAAATTTGAGAGAGAAAAAAGAGAGAGAAAAAAGAGAGAGAGAGAGCGAGAGAGAGAGAGAACGAGAGAGAGAGAGAGAGAGAGAGAGAGAGCGAGAGACCGAGAGAGAGCGAGAGAGAGAGAGAGAGAGAGAGAGAGAGAGAGAGAGAGAGAGAGAGAGAGAGAGAGACAGAGACAGAGACAGAGAATGAGAAATTTTTACCTTTTTGAGATAGCAGGTACACGAGCCCTGGTGGATATCCTATTAGAGCAATTAGCGACCGGGTTTTTGTGGTGGTTTTTTTTTGGGGTGGAGGGGGGATCACTCCTACCGACTTAGAGAATAAAGTGCAGATTAAAAAAGAGACAAAAAACAACAACAACAATAACAACAACCCACCAAAAAAAAAGGTCTCCTCAATGTTCTTATAAATTCGTCTGGAAATTTCAAAGAAACAAAGTAGGGTATCTCTATAACTCAGTACTTCTAGCCTTTAATGCTGTTAATCGTTTACTCAATGACAACTACTAGCAAACAGCTATTTTACAGAGACATGTGCATAATTATATGAGTTGCTCCAGTAAACATCCGGCCTTATTGGCTTAACAGTTTACGAAGTCTGTAATGTTGATTATTTTCGTGTGACGTGTTTAGGCATCATCTTTAATTAAGATAATCCGAATTAGGATTTGGATTAACTCGAAAGCTACAGAATGCGAGGTTTATCAAGAAATTGTTTCTCTTAAAAACCGGACGTATTTGTACATTATTTTTGGCTTACCGATTCCACTTGATGCTATCTTTAGTTGGACTGGTGCCTTTTACGATTTTATGACGTAGATATCCTGTTACGTCATATCAGCAGTAGGCCAAAGCCAATTATGTGGCCCATTTAGATAACCGTTACTCACAACAAATCAGAAACATGAATTTACATGATATTTTATTCCATAGTACGCAGTTGAAATTTGATTCCTTAATGTTTAGATAAAAAATACACACAGAACTGAAAAATGTGCATAAACAAGGAAGTTATAAATATGCTCCTAACTCTTCTATTTGAAAGTGTCCCAAAATTACACGTCTTTAATCTAAATGGTTTACCGTCGTAGGACCAGAATGCGTGTCCCCAATCAAGCTTTAAAAAAGCAACTCAAAACAAACAAAACAAAACGAGATTACGTAGGTTGTCTCAAAACTGATCCACACACAAGTCTTTGTAAAAATGTGTTCGGGGCTCGACAGTCTATTAACACGTCATGGAAGCAGGATGGTGTACAGACTCGCTGGACACGAGGAAACAATGTACATCGCCAACGATAAAAAAACAACACCCACCCGGAAACAGAACAAAACAAAACAGGAAAGAAATGCTGAATCAGTCTAGAAAAAACCACCTTTCCCCATTTTGCTTTGTTGAATGGGAAATATTACGTTCCGAACTCTGGCGTGGAATCAAATTTTACACCACATTCCAACTGCTCGTTGTCCAGTCGGGTTTCTTAACCAAGAAAAACAACAAAAAACCAACTTATTATGTTTGTCAGTGGTTGAAAGTGTCTTGGTTCAAATCCAGAATGTGTGTCCCCAATAAATATACCCCCCCCCT